GCGCACTGTATGTGCAGTGTGGCTGTGTGTGTGTGCGCACTGTATGTGCAGTGTGGCTGTGTGTGTGTGCGCACTGTATGTGCAGTGTGGCTGTGTGTGTGCACACTGTATGTGCAGTGTGGCTGTGTGTGTGTGTGCGCACTGTATGTGCAGTGTGGCTGTGTGTGTGTGTGCACACTGTATGTGCAGTGTGGCTGTGTTTCAGTGCTCTTCCCTGTCACCTGTTACTGCTCTTCAGACGTTGACGAGAAGGTAATCACCTCTTCTGAGCAGTGAAGCCCAAAGCTTTGGCATGTCTCCAGTCCGTGCCCACAGCAGTCTGCCTCCGCTTTACCTCCCTATAAATAGCTCCACAGCCTCTCTCCTCCTACCCTGGGGGTCAAGTCTCCCCAGCGTCTTTCCCAGCTCCTTCAGATGTCCATGGGCAGCTCCCCTCTCTCTGAGGGTAAAATAAAAGGGGTGTTTTTACCGTAGTCATGCATGTCCGTACCCTTGACCTGCCTTCACAGGGACGGCTGGGTTCACTCATTAACTGCCCCTTGGATTCCGCATCGGTCCTGTGCCTTATTGCTTCATTACCATACGGCGCAGAAACAGCATGTGAAGCAATCTGGTCACATGACTCTAAGCCCAGTTGTGTAAGGAAGATGCTGCATTTAGATATTAAGATGGAGTTTTGCTGTTAAGAGAAGATGCTGTAGAGCAGGCACATATTTCCTGAAGGTAGAGGAATCTCATACTTTTGTGACACGCATTTGAATTTCTGGCAACAGGATTTTTCTTTACTTCAAAATCACGTAAGATAGGAAGGTTTTTTTTCCCTTTTCTTAAAGATGCAGCACTATGGAGACTCCTTTGTAAAGTGATTTATAATTTCCTCCGGTGGTATGAACCTGCTATTTGTCATTAGTGTCATAAGTGTTCTCTCAATTTTCCCAAGTCATTACACCAAGCCAGAACCATATGCTGCAATTCACCAAAATGTTTTGCAACATTAAGGTGATTTATGTATAAACAGTACCAGAAGGCCTTTGGTGTAATTATAACTGTAAGGTTGATTAATAAGTATGATCATTTTATGAAAAGCTGTCGGCTGTCGGTTTTCATGTCAATGCCTGCCTAGTGCTATTTTGCTGTCAGAGAATCTGTCGTGTTGCATTTATGAACCTCAGTTCATAAATCCTACCCATTCCTTTTCAGTTCCGTACAAATACCCCCCACCCTCCTGTACCATTTGTGACACGTTCTGTAAGATGTTCTTGTCCTTCCCATGAGGCTGCTAACCTGTTTGTTGTTCTGTGTTTCTCTCTGTCCTCTCTCTGTTTGCCCACGCTGTTTGTTTTTCTTTCTGTGCCATACGGGAGCCTCTTCTAACTCCCGGTTCTTCATGGCCTTTGCCTTTGGTCACGCCCCTGCTCAGTGATTGGCTGACAGCTGTCTCGTGACCCTCCATCTCTCTTGTGCTTCAGTGTCTGGTTAGGTTGACTGCGATCACGCAAAGGCAGATCTTCGCCTCTGACAATAAGGTTTCTATTTCTTTTTTGATTGCGCTGCCATGCTTTTTGCACGGGAAACTTCTCCGGAACCAGTGGGTTGGCTTGTTGGTTCATTCCTAGTTAAAAAATACATGTTAAATTTGACTCTGTGGCATGATCTGTTAAATGTCTGCTTTACTTAAAAAGTCTCCTAGTCCCTTGGGCACAGCAGGGATGCATAGTAGCACAGTCGCTGCTTGAGCATGACTGAATGTTTACAGAACTGCACAGGTGATTTTCAGATGAATAGCTTCTGTAAAATGCAGAAGGTCATACTCGATATTACAATGACTGTCACCCAGTGCTTCTCCCCACCACCCCCTTATGCTTTGCAGTGAACCATCTTCGGTTGAACCCGACCTATTCTGCTACGTACTGCACTCCTGTTTAAGTGAAGTTTGCAGAAAACAAGCCCCCCCCCTTTACTACATACACTTGACACTCTTAAATAACTAAGAAATTGTCTCTCTTTTTTGGAGTTCCTATTACCACTTCTGTTTGTCAGTGGGATTTAAAGATGTGCTACACACAGCTATCAAGGGTTGCTGCAAACTTGACTAAATCTGAGTGCAGCCCTGAACGATTTCAGTCTGCAACAGGACTGTCCTTCCTTCTGGTCATGGCACCCGAGATGTAAATATAGCCACTGCCAGGTGCTGTTCACAGATCGCAGTGCTACCATTAACATAGTTGTATTAACCTGGCTTAACTTGGCCTGGCCGTTTCTCTTTGTTCCCTCCAGGCTTTGGCAAGTATGAGCCTCAACACTCAACCCATCCTCAACCTGGAGAAGTTCCACGAGAGCCAAGAGATTCCCCTGCTCACCGCCCGGGAAAATGCCTGCACCCCCTCCACAGAGTTTAACCCCCTCATCTACGGCAATGACGTGGACTCTGTGGATGTCGCCACAAGGCAAGACCTTTGACCTCTTCTGTGATGAAATAAACTGCATTCAGAATTAGTTTTAGCTTGTGCAATGACATATGTAGGCAAATGAGAAAATTTGTATTGATGTCATTGTCAGTCTAAGGGAAACAATTACTACAGATTAATATATTGAATTATTTTCCTCAATAATTTAATGTAATATAAAATATTTAACTTAGGCACTGGTTTAGTAAACCCCCTGGTTTAAATAATTTCAGCTGAACTGATTGAATTTCAATCAAAAGTATCGAAAACCAGTGATGTGGGAGGAGTTGCACATCATTTGGGGTCAAACAAGAATGTTACTGCAAATTTGGCTAGAATATCAGGAGGTAGGTGATGATGGAGGTTCCTGCTGAAATGGGCTGTTTCAAGTGGCCTCAGTGATACGTTTTTAATTTGGGAAGGTAATTTAGGAAACGGTCATCCTCTTCAGACTCTTGCATGGTCCTGCCCTGGTCAATAATATTTGTGATTGGCTTTCGCCACAGTCAGCAAGAGGGCACTTAAAAGTCAAAGGTCATGGGGGTCTGCACTAACGGCCTCGGCCATGTAGGCACCCCCATGCAGAAATGCGGAACAATGACTGCCTCCCCAAATTAAATGATATCTTCTTCTCCCCCAAACACTGGTTTCATATGTATTGATTATTAACAAACTTTTTGTCCCATTTAAACTGGGTAATTGTAAATCTCAACAACCTGAACATAGTTCTTGTAGACTAATACACTACTATGCAAATGATTAGACAGTAATATTTTCAGGAGAATACAGTTATATTGTGATCTTTTTGTTTGTTTTTTCTTTTTTAAATGTCTCTTTAGATGAAGTGCACCAATCCCAGAGATCGCTGTAATTTAGTTTGCCAGGTGATCTTAATTAAAGTGAAACTTAATTAGTAGTTGTTCCACATTATTAGGTAGGTCGCAGTTCTCATTAAAGGAAGCTCATTTTGTCTTGCAAAAGACATGTAAACAATTTATATGTCATCAAAACTTAAAAGATCATTGAACTGTTAAAACATATATGAGTGGAAATCAGATAAAGGATCGTTACGGAACGTTTCAGGCAAGCAAATTAATCTTATTAACAGGACAGCTGTAAAAAAAAAAAATACACCATTAAGCAGCAAACATTTTTGAAATGGATGGTGTCCCTGTAATTCCAAAATGGTTCGGCGCAGGATCAGGAGGCTGGCAGTCGTGTGTGAGTCTGCATTTTGGCCGCGTCTCTCCATGGCACTCAAAGGGAAATGTATCCATTGGGCTCAGGCATATAAAAATTGATTTTCATTTGATGAATGCCGCGTTACACTAGATGGTCCGGATAGGTTGGTTTCTGGATGGCTGGTAAATGGACATCCTATGTCTAACAGATTGAAGCGTCAATAAAGAAGTGGGGGAGTGATGTTTTGGACAGGAATCATGGGAAGTGTAATGGCGGCCCCTTGTGGTGTTAACCTGGCGTCAGTAACATATGTGAAGTTTCTAAAGGAACACTTCCTGTGCTGGTATGGAATTCCAAAAACCATTCCAGTCACGCCGTCCAAAATAACATGACGTTCATGCAGGACAATTTGCACATGGCGGTAAAAACAAATCATGGTTTGGCCGCCATCATCCCTAGACCTCAACCCTTTCGACAGCTTAAGGGGCAGTTTGAAAGGGGCAGTTTGTAATGGTGGATGGTGGTGAACCTCAAAACTGCTGCTCTGAGAGGCAATAATGGCAACTTCCAATCAAATAGGAGCAGGGACTGTACATGTCCTCACAAATGCAACAGTCAACCCTTCCACAGCCTGGGGGGTCAGGGGCACAGCCCCTCACAATCTGGGGAAAACCACATACATTTTTTTGGTCTCCTGGCAAGTGAAGTGAAGCTAAAGGGCACAAGAAATGTGAGATACAAAGATCACTGCAAGATCACTGCGAGATATTAGCTATTAAACTTTGAGTTATTAAGCTTTCAGTGTGTTGTCTGCGACTTTCCCAAAACTCCAAAAAAATCCACATTAAATTTCATATGCCAACTCCGCAATGTTTCGAAAGCACAATGGGGGAACATCAGCATGCAGAAAGGTTGACTGTAGAAGACAGTTGTTAAAGTAATTTCAAGGAACATAAGAACATAAGAACATACGTAACTAGGTCTCTTGGTATGCTTTTATTAAAGAGTAATATTATTATGGAGAAAAATACAATGCAAATGCAAATACTGTTTTCAGTCATTTATGGTATATTGAATGTTGCAAAACTGCAATCTGGGTAATAATGTGGAATGGGGATTTGGTGTTTGTTTCAGAATATATGAAATCTTATGTTGTTGCTTCTGGTTCACATCTACATTCAAATAGCATTGTTGAAAATAAAAAAAGTACCTAAATATAGAGTTAACTGTTTTTAGAATAAACCAAAAATGGTTTAAAATCTGCATAATCATTTGGAATGTGGTATTTATACAGATGCATGTGTGTTGTGGTCAGCATTGGCTTGTGTTCCATTTTGCAAAGACTGTTATTTGCAATCAAGTGAGTGATGCACAGGGAGCGTAAATGTTCTGCTCGGGGCTGAATATTAATTACATTTTAAAAACAGTCCAGGCACTCTCTCCTGCACTCCCCGCAGGGTTGCCATGGTGAGGTTCTTCAACTCCCCCAACGTGCTGCAGGGCTTCCAGATGCACACGCGCACGCTGCGCCTCTTCCCGCGGCCTGTGGTGGCCTTCCAGGCCTCCTCCTTCCTGGCTTCACGTCCCAGACAGTCCCGCTTTGCAGAGAAGCTGTCCCACACTCAGGCTGTGGAGTACTTTGGCGAGTGGTCCCTTAGCCCTACCAACCAGGCCTTTCAGAGGATCCACAACAGTAAGAGTCTCCGTGGGGGTGGGGGGGGGGGGGGGGGGGGGGGCGTAGTGCCTCCATGTGGTCTTTCTAATCTTCCTGTTTATGTATCACTTGTTTTGCTCCCAAATGGTCCACGTTCGGTACTGAGATGTTTAAGGAGGTGCGAGAGGGGGGCATTATTTTAATTGGCTGTGTGTTCATCCAGCTCCAAATGGCATTTTGCAAGGGTCTCAAGCATGACGATTCACAGACCTCTGCCTGCCCCCTAATCAGATGTGTACGACCCCTCCCTGATCGGGGACAAGCCCAAATGGTATGCCCACCAGCTGCAGCCCATTTACTACCGCGTGTACGACGGGAACTCCCAGCTGGCCATGGCCTCCAGCAGCCCGACGGGAGCCGAAAACAAGCAGGACGAGGACTCGGACCCCACCGACGACAGGTTTGTGGGGACTCGTGTAAGGAAATGACATCATTAAGCTTGACATAAAGGCAAATCAATGAGCAGTGATGCAATTAAAAGTATATATGTAACCAAGCAATTTATATGGTATATCGGACATTTGTAAGATTTACTTCCTGTGGTCGTTCACGTTTACCCGTAACTTTTTTTTTTTTTTAAACCGAAATCCATTTGTGGGTTGTGCAGTAGTAGAGACACCACATCTAGGTCACAGAAATCTGTCAGATCAGAGTATTGATAAGTTTTTGAAGCTATTGATAACAGTTTCATGTGGATAGATTAAATACAGACATTCTTGGCAGTGCAACACTGCCCCCTGTTGTAGAGAGCAGTCCCGTGTGTGGGCTGTGGGTGTCTGATTTCTAGCATTCTTTCTGCGCTCTCAGTAAGAAAATGGGCCAATTTAACACCCCCACTCCTACAGATACGTAGAGACAGAAGAAATATCTGTGTTGCTCAGTGACACCACAGGAGGCAGCCAGTGCTGGACAGCAGGCTGTAGCGTTGCGGCCAGTCCTAGACGTTAGGCTGTAGTATCACTTTCCAAAGCGAAAGGTTGTAAGGGGACTTTCACCCTCAGCAGCCGGCGAAATGTACCTAGGCAGGAGTGGGGGGGGGTGGGGGGTAGGAATCAAGTCTCGGGCACTGTAATTTTGGGTTGGAAAGTTTGGGAACCCATGGAATTCAACGCGTTTCCATCTTTTTATGAGCAGATTATTAGCAATTATTTCATTGTTTCTGTCTGATTTGTGTCTTTGGCCAAAGCAGTGAAGGTTTCGCCGGTTTGAATGAGCACCTCACGGGTTTGTGTGGCGGACCAGCCCTTTTTCAGCATTAGCCTGCCATTGCGTTCTGGCTCTCTGTGGAGATCCTGCAGATATGAGCAGACGGAGAATCACCCACTGAAAGCCCCCCTTTCCCTTCCAGCGGCAGCGACAGCGTGGACTGCGATGACTCCAGCTCATCTTATTCTTCGCTGGGGGACTTTGTCAGCGAAATGATCAAATGTGATATACAGGGAGACACGGCGAGTGAGTGCTGGACGTCACCTGTGCCATTTAAGCCAAAGCAGGGAACATAAACTGCCATGTCTCCCTGTGTCACTTCCGTAACAGACCATACATGTATGTGTAGCAGCCAGCAATATAACTAAAATAGTGTAATAACTTCCAGTAACGTAGTAATTTTTCCATTCTTAATGTAATAAAAGTCAATAATGTTATAACTTATCAATAATGTAATAACATTTCTGAATCAAAAGTGTAATAACCTATTATATTATCCACAAAAATTTGTTACATTATTGGCTGGTTATTACATTATGGGCTGGTGTGACGGCCAATAATGCGATACCTACCGCCATTGTATTCCAGATTTATTGTCATTGGCAGTTATTACGTTTATGGCACTTTGGTGCATCTTTGCTGATAAGTCCAACTTCAGCAAAGTGACATTGTAGTCGTGGTTTTCTTTGAATAATTGTGAACATCATTTATCACTTTATTGCCCATTATCTGATACCAATACCAAGAGCTAATAACTAGCTGTGATTTTGCACTTAAAATAAATAAATAAACAAACCCGTTTTATTTGGTGTGATGGGTTTTCACACTCCGATCTTGATACGCAGGATATATGCGCTTGTCAGTTCTTGGAGGTTTGTTTTCGTCACACAGCACAACAGACTGGATTCCGGTCCTTGTCCCATCGGGTGACCCGGTCCACTGTTTCCCGTGTTCCTCAGATGAGGACCCCCTGACACATGCTGCCCTGGGAGATGCCAGTGAGGTGGAGTTCCAGGACTTCCAGGAGTACCGGGCCGGGGTAGTGGGCTTGCCCCTGGAGGGGGATGGGCCCGTGGAGGGTCAACAGCTGAAGTCCAGTTCCAGCACCACAGCCAGTTCTAGCCCCAGCACCATCATCCAGGGGGTCAACCATGTAAGGACCCCCCCTTCCCCCCCGATCTCAGCATCTCTGTGTGCTGTACCCACATCTCCCTACTGAACACACAATACATAGACAGTGAGCAGTGAGCGATCCTTTGTTGTCTCTTGTGCCTCGTGTCTGACAAAGGCCAGAGTACATACCAGCCGGAACACGAGTCATGTGGAAAAGCCTCATTTTCAGAATGAGAGCCAAGCCTTGATTAAACTAGCATGCACAGTCCAAAAGTTTTATAATATTTAATATATTTTATTGTCGTTTTCTGTATGAGTGTGGAATTGCTGGAGATGGGTGAATGAATATGGATATTGCACGTGTTGACAGGACCAGGCTGAGCCAGCAGACACTGAGGTGTCCATGGGACCCGGCGGGGCGGTGCAGAACCACTTCCCAGTTATGGGTGCGCAGGCCTTTCCTGTGATGGGAGCTGAGCAAAAGGACAGTGAACGGGCTGGTGCTATGGATGTCCTGGGCCAGAAGAAGGAGTATGACAACCCGTACTTCGAGCCACAGTACGGCTTCCCTGCCGAGGACGACACTGATGCCGACGGAGAGCAGGAGGAGAGCTACACCCCACGTTTCATCCAGAACCTCAAGAAGTGAGTAACACACCCCAAACTTCTACAAAGTCAGCAAACATTCACATCCTGCCCACACTAAAACAAGAACCTCAAATAAAGGGCTCAGCGGGTTACGACTCTGTGCCTACAATCCGAAGGTTGCTGGTTCAAATCCCAGGGTTGGCTGAGATCTCATCATTGGGCCCCTGAGTAAGGCCCTTAATTAATGCCCAGTGGCTCCAGGGACCGGCTGGCTCTGCCTTCTCAGTTGTATATTGTTCAGGATGAATCCTCCCTCTAAGTAAATTCTTTTAACCTGAAGAGTTAATGGCTGATTCTTTCGCAGACCCCCACTCCCTTTGCGGCCCAACAGCTTGAGGCTGTCTGGCGACTCGGACGGCGAGTCGGATTCCCACGGCAGCTCCCCCACCTCCACCATCTCCAACAACAGCAACGAAGGCTTCAGCGGCCTCATGAACTTTGCCAGTGGGTACACATAGGGCAGCCTGATGTGGTGACTTTAGTACAATATGCAGGACAGTCGCTCTGTGACTGTCTGTAAGTATTAGGTCAACAGTCACCCTTCTTTGTTTTTATTTCTATTTAGTTAATCGTACTAGCAAAGCTAACCCCTCAGCTGTCAACCATCCCTTAAGCGATTCCAATTTGTGCATCTTGTAGGTAACTTGTACAAGAACCACGGTACCAGTTTCAGCCTGTCCAATCTGGCCCTGCCAAGCAAAGCAGCTCGGGACAAGGCCAGCCCATTCCCCAGCCTTAAAGGTGCAGTACTCTCCGTATCGCTGTTACAGCTATAGTCCTTCACTACTCCAAATCCCCCTCACTGAGCTGATAGACACTCTGCTTTCATTCGCACTGAAGGTGTCTCACTAGGCATTTAATTTGCTCCCGTGGTTTCTTAGATGTTTGACAGCCATCTAGCCTTTCTGCACAAGTGAAAGATTTACTCTCCATGTTCTGGATTTTACCGCACTGTTCCCTGCTAGTGTTGGATTGTCACTGTTTTTAATTGAATTGTTGAATTTTAGACCACTGTTTCTTTTTTTGTAAATGTGCATGTAGAAAAAGACATGCAACATTACCTCCAGGAGGAACTGCAAAGTCTGCATGTATCACGTTGTAATTGCAGTTTCTTTAATGCTACAGAGTTTTAGCTGAGTCAGTGTCTGGCTTAGGCGACGATAGCTGAAAGGCAAGATTGTATTTCTCCTCTTATTTAAACAGGCATTTAAGAAGTATGCAGTATTTGGATTGTTAATTGTTTTTTTCCCTGTGGAAACATGCCAGTGTTTTATTCAATAACAGTAGACAATGCTAGCGTGTATGTGGAGTGGTTATGGAAATGCTGATGATTGCCAGTGGAAGGAGGCTGAATCTGTTATTTAAAACTCTGTTTGTGCCCAAGGTAAAATCTCACTTCCCCTGTCCATTCTCTCGTGAAGCTTTGAGAAGTGTTTGCTTGCAGTGTATAATTAGTCATGTTTCTGCGATTTGCTTGCTGTGTTGTGTTTGGTGCAAAATGTGTTAATGTTTTAAGGTGTTCTTTAGATGACATATGAAATGGAAGACAATGGGGGTTTTATCACAAGCTACTGGCATAAACGCTCAAGTTAACTTATCAAGTTAATCCTATGGCGCTATTTAGGATGTTAACATGGCGGGAAACTCCACTTACACATGCTCCGAAGTGTGACAGCGTTCATTTCTATTTATAAAACCGTGAGTAAAAACCGATAACATGTCCTGTACAGTGCATAGGAAATGTAAAATATAACTCCGGAGCTTTGCTTTCTTTGGATAGTTGCCATAGCAACATTTTATTCTTCATTCTGAAGTGAAATATCTGCCGTTTAGCTAAGCCCGGAGTATGTTCACATTGAGTGTCATTTGACTCAGAGCAGTTCACTTTGCAGGGTTGCAGGCATGTATTACAGAGGATTTTTTTCCAGCCTTCTTATTCTGCTGCAGGGAGACTTTTGTGCAAACATGTACACATTCGAAGAAATATATATGTATATTATATATTTTTCATAACGTCTATCAGTTTTGGCTTCCAGTTGAATACATTTATGCAGATATATATAACTGTTAGTGACTTTTATTTTGTGTTTATTTAATGGGTGTGTTTTTTGTTCTACTGAGTGTTGGCTCTCTGTGCCTGTATGCTTGTGATGTTCATTGTCCCCGTCCCCATTACTGTGTGGTATTTCTGTGTGGTTACCTCAGTCCCTGTCTGCTACAGTGCTAAAGGAATTGGGGGGGACTATGGTTTCCCACTCGGCAGCCGGGGTGGGAGCACCCAAAGCTCTTTGCTGCTTTTTCTGCCCACCCCCGTGCTGTAGTACCAGCTCACCTCTCCTCCAGCCAGGTAGCGGCACCGTCTGATGGAGCAAGCGGCATATCCAGTTTGCTGCAGCTGTCTCCAGCCTCCTCTTGAGGAAGTACTGCCCCAGATTAGCAGAGGCTGGTCGTCTTGTGCAGTTAACACAAGATTCAAGATTATTTATTAGCTATGTGCAACAGGTGCATTGGATTGTTTGGACTTAAAAAAGACTAAACAAGACTAGGATGGAACAACCAAAGTAGTGCAATGCAAAATCATACAGGACAGTGCAAAGCAATGTAGACCATGCAAAATCATACAGGACAGTGCAAAGCGTGCAGACCATGCAGAATCATACAGGACAGTGCAAAGCAGTGCAGACCATGCAAAATCATACAGGACAGTGCAAAGCAATGCAGATGGTGTATAACAATACAAGAGATTACAAAACAATACTATTCAAAAAACAACACAAAACTGTGCAGTTTGGATGATATGTAGTCAGTCTGTGATAAAATGCAGTAGCAGATCTTTAATGTGCATTTTCCATGGACATGACTGTGACGGGAAATCCGGATGGCTGAGGGAAACACACAGTTCTTGAATCTGGCTGTCAGTGGTCTGATGCTGCAGGACCTCCTGCTAGATTGCAGGGCAGTGAAAAGGTTGTGACTTGGGTGGATTGAGTTCTGAATTACAGACAAGCAGGTTAAAGCGCACCTCATGTGTGTTAACGCTGAGCCGGTGCTACCTGGGCGGATGGATGGTGTCCGCGGAAGCGGTGAGAGCGCTGCAGGCCGGCTCTGCTCCGTTTTCTCTCCTTGACCCGGCGCTGTACCCTCAGTTGCGTGGGCATACTGCGTCCCCGTCGAGACGCAGGCCGGCTCTGCTCCGTTTTCTCTCCTTGACCCGGCGCTGTACCCTCAGTTGCGTGGGCATACTGCGTCCCCGTCGAGACGCAGGCCCCCTCTGCCTCGGGCCGGCGTCTCTCCTTCTTGAGCTGGTCTTCTTCACTGCACTAATTCTGGGTTCTGTGTCCAGTATTTGGGCTAAATTCTCTAATGGAGATAATAACAGAAGCTGGCCCGGTGAGCGGCGAAGGTGGGTCTCACCCTTGCATGAGCTGCATGTTTCCCACCTGGTCTAGCTCCTTCTCCCATAACACTAACCTAACCCTAACCTAACCCTAACATCTCCCAGCAGTCTCTTCTGCACTCACGTCTCTGGGCTGCTCTGTTTTTGGCAGTAAAAGTCATCCAGCCTCGAACTTGCTGTATACTTTGCTCATCCACTGTGTCTAACCCTCATGTTTGTTAACCAATCACAAAAAGCGTGCCTTTTACACACTGTGTTTGTGTATGTATATACTACGCACAAGTAAATATTAGTCCTGTGTTAATTAGTACGTGTTGCATGAAGGTGTTCATCTTGTTAGCGTTTTGCCACAGTTACTGTGAAGCCTCTTCAGTTTTGCTCTTTTTCTGCCGATGTGTGAACCTAGTGTTTCCATCTCTCGTTTTCGTTTTGGTTTGTTTATGCTGCTACCGGCAGTGACCAATATAGCAGTTTTTAAACATTCCCCTCTGCACTGTGCCACATACCTGGGTGAATAATGCCAGTAGTTAGTTATCGATAACGTGTGTGTGTGTGTGTGTGTGTGTGTGTGTGTGTGTGTGTGTGCGCGCGCGCTGACCAAGCAAGTAAAGGTGTGTTTGCTCCTGTCTGCATAAGTTTTACATCATATCAGCACATGTACACATGAATGTACTTGCCTGAACGCCAACATCGGTGCCACATTACATGCTCTGTGTACGTTCAGATGGTCGTGGTATGTTCTTAGGCGTGGGTGTGTGTGGCATGTGATTTTGTGCTGCTGTGTGTACCATGCGTGTCTGAATGTGGGTGGTGACGTGTAGGAAGGTGTGTATGTGTGTGTGAGTCTGTATGAGAGAGAGAGCTTGGAGCTTGTGAGTTATGCAAGTGGGTGGATATTTATTGTGTTTCTGTAAATGCCCTGAAGTTATGTTTGGCCCTTTCAGGCACCCGTCCCCCGAGAGCTCTGGTGGACCAGAAATCCTCTGTTATTAAGCACAGTCCAGTGAAAAAGGAGTCGCCTTCCCCTCAGGGGCGGACAAACAGCAGGTAAACGAGATACGGCAGCTTTCTGATTGTACCCATTTCTTATTGTTTCTACAAATTAAAAAGTAAATTGAAAGAAGGGGACTTAACAGCTCACTGAGCTGAATAGAAGAAATCAATACCATTTTGGCAGGATAATGTCATTAGTTTGGAATCAGTCTTTCTTTCTTGAAATTGCTGTTTCACTTACTTAGTCCTGGACAGAGTTGGGTAATTCAGGTCCATAGAGTGAAAGTCCAGACCAGGATTTTGTTTCAACCAACCAGTTGAGCATAAAGAGTCACAGAGTACTCAACTGGTTGGTTGAAACAGAATCCCGGTCTGGACTTTTACTTTCTGGACCTAAATTACCCAACTCTAGTCCTGGAACCTGTGCCCCTACATGCTTTTTAGTTATATTACCTTTGAAATACTTTGAGTGCTTAATTTTAATATGAATATGTTAAATTGATATCATGTACGCTTCATTTTTGCCTGTGATATTCTGGTTCTTCCTGCTTCAGTATGGTTGATCCTTTTAGGGAGTATCAGATAAGACTCTGCTCTGCAGTTTCCATTCTGCACGTCTGCCCTAAATGATGATTGTCTGCGTCCCCATTAGCGAGAACCAGCAGTTCCTGAAGGAAGTGGTGCAGGGTGTCCTGGAAGGCCAAGGTGTCGGCTGGCTGAACATGAAGAAAGTGCGCCGCCTGCTGGAGAATGAGCAGCTGCGCATCTTTGTGCTGAGCAAACTGAACAGGGCCATCCAGTCGGAGGAGGACGCCAGGCAGGAAGTCATCCATGATGTGGTGAGAGCTGGGGAGGAGAGGGAGGCGGAGCTCTGTCCAGTCAAAAGTAAAGCTCTGATGATCTTATAGCACCAGAATCTCTGAAGTCTCCTCCATTTATAAATCCATTCCTCCCCAAGTCTGGAGAGAACTCCCAAAAGCAAGCGCTTTCCTTTCCCTGTGCGTAGGAGCTCAGCCGGAAAGTATATAAGGGGATGCTGGACCTGCTGAAGTGCACGGTGTCCAGCCTGGAGCACACGTACAGCAATGCTGGCTTGGGAGGCATGGCCAGTGTCTTCAGCCTGCTGGAGATCGCACGCACGCACTACCAGACCAAAGGTAGGGCACCTCTGCCTATCTGCCCCAGCACAAAGGTATCCTTCCCTGCTCCGGTCTCCTACATCCAAAGCTATAAATCAGTTTGCATGATATGGTTGCAGAGTGCACCATATAGCATTTATTCAGAGTAACTTGCTGGTCAGTGCATTCAACAGTAAGAGCATTCAGCAGAAAAAGTTTATTAACACAAGCAAAAAACCAATAAGTACTGTAAATTTAATTAATTAGATCTCGTATGAGGTGATAAAACCCTGTTTGTTAACATCCATGCAGTAGTGATAGATCTGAATTGATTACAATAAAAAGCATATTCAGTATTGTACAAGCAGCAAGTAGCCAGCCTTTGGTAGGTATAGGGAATCACATACCAAGAAAATCTAAGACACAAGAAGCACTCTCTACATTTTATCACTTTTGTGATTGACTTTTGTGTTCAGTGTTCTACCCTTTTCATCTTTTTTGCTATCTGGTTTCTTAAATTTTCAGGCATTTTCTTGCCATGTGGAGCCATAGTAGATTAAAAGCAGCTGATTGTAGACCAAAATCCATAAAAATCTGGAGTTAATAGCTTGTTCTGGATGCCTATTTAGCCAGCAGCCATCAATGGTGAGAGGGTCTAACAGGGATTATATAATTAGTGCAAATTAGAAATGACATCAAGGGTGTACTCACTTTTATTTCTGCATGTTGGTCTGTAATTTCAGTGCGTTGTAACTTGTTTTTATTTATACATAACTGAGTAAATCATGTTGTTCAGAGTACAAAATGGATACTAATGATACTGTATTGACTCCTTTTAGTGAATAAGGATGTTTTTTTACTGTAGATCTTGGAAGTTAGAAGGCGACTGTTTGAGCTGAAATTCAACCTGTGTTTGTACAGCATCTTGTTGCTCTCTGTGTTTGTTCCAATTTTCAAGCACCTAGGATTTCTGTTTTCCGAGCGAGTTCAGTAACATAGCAAACATAACTAGCTCCAGGTAGAGTTTACAACATTGGGCATTTCATTTAGCCTGTATCATTTCTGTGCCGCTCCTGTGCCGCTCCACATCCGGGCTCTTTTACTAGGTCACATCTCAGGCTGATGCCTGCCGTGGGGAAAGCGGGTTTCCGCGGCCGTCTTAGTGTTGCGTGAGGCGGGCAGTGAGAATGTGTGAACGCTGAAATGGAGGGCGCTGGCTGCATCCCCAGGTCCTGCTCCTCTGGGGCGTCTCTCTTCTCGCTGGCTGTTCACGGTTGTGTCCCTTTCCTTATAGTGGACTCCATCAGATAATCCTGTTAGATTCCCTGCCTGTCACTGCCCTCCGCTACCCAATCTGCACTTTAAAATCTAGTCGATGATGATGATATTTTATTATCATATTTATTATTATTATTATATAATTCATATTGACTAATTTTCATTGACTAAGGTTCCTCTGGCGGGAAATCAAATAGCGTTGTCCGCTGGTGGGGTGTCCATTTAAATGCTTTAATCTTTCATAAATTAACCTGAATTTCTGCCTTTTCTCGCCGTACCATCTTCCTCTCTCTCTCTCTCTCTCTCTCTCTCGCTCTCTCTCTCACCCTTCCACCCTGCTCGTTCCCGGGTATCTCGTCTGTCTCTGAAGAGGCTGAGAAGCGCAGGCGGAGCCCCACAGAAACCGCGGGCGGCAGCAGCCCGAGCAGTAAGGGCAGCCTGATGCCCAGGGCGGTCACTGCCCTACCACCACGCCCCCTGCTGGTGCCCAAGTTCCAGCTACACCCGCCTGCCCCCTCCACCGGCAGGGGAGCTCGGCAGTTTGACACCCGGAGTCTGAACGAGGAGAATTTTATTGCCTCTATTGGTGTGTACTCTGAGCTTCCCCTCGGCCATGAGGGGGCGCTCTCCTGTTAACTCTGACAGCAATTGCTCATTTTGTTTTTCACCAACATTTTTCTAACATTCTAAAGATGTTCTTTAACTTTAAAGTTAATGCTATTTATGGTTTTGAATAAGGTATGTTAATGGATCAGGCATTTGTCATAAGTGGGTATAAATTATTACTTACTAATTAATGATGCTTAGCGCAATTAGGGTATTTTAAAAATATGGCTCTCCTTCTTGTCAGTGCTATGTTGAACCCATAATTTGGTCGGTTCAGACAGACAAAATTATCTTTTGAGTTGGTTAGATGGAAATGATGCATGTCAGACATATTGCCCAGATTACAGGTTATAGTCAATGTTCTTCTTAAGCCTAATTATTCAGATTAGTGTGTTGCCTGTGTGTTAATCAAATCCAATGTATTGCAGATATTTCACCATGTTTGTTCCCTCAACCAAAGGACTGGAAGCATGTTTGTTTGATTTTTATCAGCCATTTTCTGTTTGATTCGAAATCTGCAGTACTTATTGAATTGGCAGATAGAGATATGTAAAATTAAATATCATAATTTTTTTTATTTTAGCTAGTCTACAGTGTATATGTTCTTTCTAATATTGACACTAATTCAAAATCCATTGGCTATCAGCTGTAATTAACCAGCAGAATCTAGCTATCAGGCTCTACTGCAGTTTTCTGTGTGAGGTACTGTTACTGAGCTCATCTTCCCCTTTATGCAGACCCCATACCCTGCTTGGTTTACTTGCTGGTGTATGAGTATCAGGAACACAACTGCAGGCATCTCATAATCTGCAATTCAATAGCGCGGTTGGAGCGTTCGTGGTCATTAGAGATTCTGCCCAGGTTTGAGGATACAGCTGGGGGTCTGTGTAAACGGGACGAGTGTCACCTCTGGCCGCCCCCTGTTTGGGAAAAGCACCTTCAATTCTACGGAATGTCTCTCTCACGTTGCACCCCTGCTTCCGCTGCCCCATTCTCACTGCTGTGGCTGGCCGCTCAACTGCCATTCCAGAGCCATTTTCCCGTTTGTGCATCGCTCCTTTGGATCCTGGTTCAGGGAGGCACCAGTCTCTTCCCATCCTCTTCAGTTACTTAATTCCACTGTTCAGACACTTGATGCAAAGTGTCTAGACAGGGGATGCCACAAAGACCTAATTGTCTGCCAGACTGTAGCCCCCGGGACCGATACCATAGAGCAGTGCTTGGCTGTTATGTTTGATAAGTTTAATTTTTAATGCATTTTAGCCTATAGTGTTATTACAAAGCATCTTTATTTTAAGATGATAATTATATGATTTTCTTTTTTGCTTGATTTATTATTTTTTTTAATGCCCATCACTCATTCCCTGCCAATTCAACAGCCTCTGACTCTCTATATCTTTCTCTCCTTGCTTGCATTGCATCTTGGGTAGAATTGTGGAGCAAGCACCAGGATAACAGAGCTCAAAAAGCTATGGAAAAACTACAGAGTAAGACATTTCACAAGGAAAAGACCGGGTCTGGGTCTCCCTATTACCTCTTTATTCCCACTTGCCACCTCTACACCTCCCATGCCTGTAATGTTCATTTTAATGAGTGAGTCCTCAGAAAAGAACAGGTCATGTCTCTAGATAGATTACTAGGCTTAAACGTCAGCATACATGACAGACCTCAATGCTGATCTTAAAATGAACAAGAGAAACCCTGAATATTATTATGCACTTTAATAGACTTGGAGAAATACTTTTATAGTGTTTATGGTGGTAAATTACATTTCTGTCCATAATAAAAAGGATATCCGTTTTCTTGACTATGTTTTTTACTTGAAGTTACTAGTTTCATCGCTGTTTTAACACTTTTACAAGTGTTCTGCTTTGTGAAGCAGCTGGCTTCATTCCGTGCTGCATTTTTTCCCTAAAATTAGGGAGAATCCTTCTCTCAGATTGCTTGAATTTGTACATGTAAATGCACTTCTGAGCCTCAAGGGCCAGAATGATTTGTTTTCTTAGTATGCTATCTCACATCTTGGTTTTCATTCTTGTGTTTTTTTGTTTAGGTTTTGCTCTAAATTACATGCGGTTCTGTGTGACCATATGCAGTGTTTCCCAAGCTGGCCTTTGGGGAACCTCAGACAGTCTATGGTTTTGCTCCCTCCCGGCTCCCCGGAGGGAGCAAGACTGTGATCTATCTGACAGGGAGCTTGGAGGGAGCAAAAATATGGGATCCCTGAGGACTGGGTTGAGAAACACTGGTGTAAAGGAATCTACTAAGAATCATAACTGTTGGGGTCAACTTCTGCCAAGGGCTCCCTACTCCTTGTTGTTCACTCAGTCACTTGTAAGGAGTCACTCTGCCCCCTACAGGCAGAAAGGCCTTGGTGCCGTGTATTTGACCGGAGGAATCTCGTAGACTTTGCAGGCTAAATTAGGGGTCACCTACATTAAAATGTTTCTAGCAGCTTCTGAAGGCAAAGCTGTTCTATAACAAGGAGGTCAATTTTTTAAACATATTTGTTCGTTCCAGTTAAAAGCTTAAACTCTGAACCTAGTGGTATTAGAGTGAAACAGTATAGTGTACGACTGCTTCTGGATTTAATGTTACTGCATTAAAGAAACATACACTGGACCACATAGTTGTTTGTGACTTTCTATATATAGCTCAGTCCATGCATATACATATATATAGGCTGCAGTTTACAGCTGAATGGCGTTTATAGTGCGTTGGTACTGTAAGGCCAGGCAGCTTTCTGCCACCTAATATCTGCAAACATTCGACCTCTGCCCCCCCTCTTGAGAGCTTTGCCTGCCACTAAACACAGAGAAGTTTCATCAGCAGATGTTGGACCCTGAGGTCAGCAGCCGAGTTAAGAATAATTCATTTAAAGCTTTTACTTTTAATGACATTATAGAAATTGTCTTAAATCCTGGACCGTATGAGTATTTCTGGTAATCCGTTAGCATATTCTAATCTTCGTGACCTCAAAAGAACAATACTCTGTGAGGTGAATTCAGTAACACTCTTCTGCACCTGGTCATGTGATTCTCCCGCTGGGATGGAATTGGAAGAACTTGTGGCTGCCAGTCTGATGGGTTGTTTCCTTCAGGGACGGAAGCTGCAAAAGCAGGCAAGCCGGTGGTCGACCCCGGGGACACAGATGAGAAGAGATCTCAGATCAGTGCCGACAGTGGCCTCAGTGTCACCTCGGGCTCTCAGGTCGGTGACACTCAGAATTTCAAGAAATGGTCATGATCAGTTGGAGAGTGATAGCACTTTCTTATAGCTCAGTCTTAACACATATGGATCCTGTAATATGCCTTCCATCAACACTCCGTGGAATCCTGATTGATTCATTTATCTTCTAGTGTGGTCCCGAGCCTTGCTGATCATTTCTGTCCCCATGTTTATCTACAGAAGAGTGAAACAGAGTCTGTAAGGACTGCAAAATCCCCCAGCCTAACTCGGAGCACCAGCCAGGATTCAGAGGCCAGCACTGTGGTAGGCTGCGGTCGACATGAGGATCCTCTGGGCCGTGTTGCTACGAGGGACCGAGTCGTACCCAGATAATGAGAACTATGTCATGATAAATTAAAATGAAACTGATATTCGGGATTAAACTGTATTCCTTTCACTCAAGGTGCTAAGAAATAATACAAACAGATATGCGGTGACCCCATCACATTTGCGGACTTGACATTCGTGGTTTCAGTTAATCGTGAGTTGGCCGTGAGCAATAAAATGTGAATATTTGCCGAAAGATTGCAAAAACTCAGTCGAAGCCAAAAACAATACTGAAATAATTTGTATCGCATAAAACCATATTATGTATAAATATTAGTGATGCATAGTATTTGTTAGTGGTAGGGTATACTATATCTTTAATATTGGAAGTCTACATTTTGCATTTTTTGATGCAACATTAATAACCTGAGAGCAGAGTGAATTAAAAAATGCAGAAATGATAAGTATCATGTTTCAGTAACATGACATGAGCTGGTGAGCCACATGCAAATGCATATAAAGCGAGCATGACACAGGAGTCTGATATCCAGTCCAATGACTGATAAGTCTTTACCTTGCCCTGAACACTATTAATGTCTTTTAGATTAACAGTGTCTTTCTAACCTGAGGCATGCTTTAGAATCTCTTATCTTACAATAAGATGTTCCTTTGGTCAATAAAGTCTGTAGACTAAGATAAGGTTCTAGCCGAAAAGACAAAAAGCCTGATGTCACTAATCCGAGACCGCTGCCTCGGTGCCTTCTGGAATCAAGGACTTGGTTTCCTTGGTGATTCACTTTTTCTCGTCTCTGGGAAGCAGTGAACAAGCGAACAATCTAAGAGACACAAGCCCTTTGCTCAATGCTGCCCCCTCAGGTGAGCAACAGCTCTGGTGAGACGCTGGGGGCTGACAGTGACCTGAGTAGCAATGCTGGTGATGGTCCAGCAGGTGGACTGCCCCCCCACCTCACCGTGTCCCGGGGTACCCTCTCTGACAGCGAGATCGAGACCAACCCTGCCACCAGTTCTGTCTTTGTATGTACCCGCTTGTAGGATTCTATTAATCATATATTCTGACATCCCGACTCCACAATGTACATGGAAATGCCCCATACTCACAGGCCAGCAATGCATTCAATACATTATAGACTCACACTTGAATACTTCAATCTTTTCATCCTTGCTCAGAATGACAAATTATATGATGGCCTATCACTACAGGACAATTATACACTCTGCACATAGTATCTACAATGCCAACTGTACTGGTCAGTGTTAAATAAGAGCAGGAGAGTGATTGCCAGCGTATTTCCCAGACTGACTTGGAGATGTTGGGTTTTTCCTCAAGGGCAAACCTCACAAGATGAAGCCCAGCCTGGCAGAACCGCGGGGCAGCTTAGGGAAAGGGGCTCAAATCATGCCTCTTGAAGACGTTAGCATGAGGATATACCTCTGCGAAGGTCTGCTTGGTATGTTCACCCGCCTAGTGGGATTTTGGGGAATCTGGAATGTCTAGGCTGTTCTTGGCCGCTTCCAAATAGTGAATACCTTTTCAACTCCTGAAGCAGATCAACTGCAGGTCACATGGAACATGTTGGAGTCCATTTCAGCTTCTTAATTCTTAATCTAAGGAATAATTTCCAGTCTTCTGATGTGCAATTGAAACATATATCAGGACCACAGCAGGTAGCTCAGCTACGAGTAGAACCAGCAGCCTTGCAAAAGCAATGAGAAAATGCCACATTGGACACAGACTCGTGTCTCTTGCTGGTAGCACGGTTTCATCTGGTTACCACACAGAAGCTGTTATATACAACTTGTCAAACATGATTAGTTATCGGTTACAGGTACAGTATGACTAGACTACTGTGCGATGTCAGCAGAAGATAAGTAGTCAACTCTCTCCCAGATTGGGTCACTGTTGTGTTTTGAAGTCTGTGAGCAGGCTGTGATTTACTTCATCACCTCAGCAGACGAGATACGGATTGTTTACTGTGATATGAGTGCTATTATCCTCCACAAGTGCCTGGGAAGTGCACCCTGATTAAAATGCAGCAGACATTTATGTAGTTCTACATTGTTTTGAAGATTCTTTTCTCTCTTAAGACCTGTGTGTACTAATACATGTTATAGTATAAACTGACATGGTCTTTCCATAACTAATATACTTTTCAATTCAAAAATGAGTCCGCCTCCTCTTAATATATAGTATATAAGCTTACTATTAATTCAAACTAATGTTTCCTCCTCTGTTTCTGCCTGTAATTCCGTCATGCTGCTTTTCTCCTTCCTTTCTGCTTGTCCTGGGTGACACCCAGGTCGGGACAAAAGTTCTGTATGGGACCAGCTGGAAGATGCTGCAATGGAGACCTTCTCTCTGAGTAGGGCTGACCTTTTCCCTTTCACCGCTGTGTGTCTGAATTACCTCCTTTTGCTGTCCTGTATTTTATGACCTGTCTGCATGCCTCCCCTGGCCAAGCTCCCTATTTGCAGATTAACTGCTGCATGATAAATCAGTTTTTTTTTTTTAAAGACAGGATTTTTATCTCACCTGATCTTACAAGCCGGAAGCTGATCTGTACGAAAGCTAAAGGAGCGCAGCCTTCTCAGTGCTGATGAGACCTTCGGTGTCTTTATAAAGCTTTTTTGATTACCTGTTTAAATAAAGAACCAGAGTATTACGTTAAGGAATGAAAATGACTGTGCTTGAGAATTGAATAGCACTCAGTTACCAGCTCACCTGCTTGCCACCTGATCTTCCTGCATTACGGTGTCCTGAGGGAAACAAAAGAATGTTTAAAGACCCTGAAAAGCCCTGTGTTGGATCCTATGCATGCAAAAAACTGGTGAAACAGTGCATTTAATGACATTTAATGCTAAGAGGTTTTTCAAATTGATTTGAATGTATCTGTAGTAGGCAGTGAAGCTGGCAAGCATAGACTCTTGACTTTTTTAACCCCGAGCTATGTGTGCATGTCTGTGCACAGGCAAGGAGCGCTCCACACTTTGGGACCAGATGCAGTTCTGGGAGGACGCCTTCCTGGATGCGGTCATGCTGGAGAGGGAAGGCATGGGATTGGACCAAGGGCCCCAGGAGATGATCGACAGGTGAGTACCTGGCACTGCTGAGAGATACAGGCATATATGGTAGAGAATAGTTTACAGGCTAATAGACTGACAACCCCCCACCCCCCGCAACCACTAGGTATCTGTCACTTGGAGATCAAGAACGGAAACGCCTGGAGGATGATGAAGATCGGCTTCTGGCCACCCTACTGCACAATATGATGGCCTACATGCTCATGATTAAGGTGGGAACATATTAACATTTTGGTGACACTTTACTACTAAAGTACAAGTCATAAACAATTCATGAACCAAAATTGCTACTTGAGATAAATGGTAAACAAAGGTGTCCTGAATGATCAGATATAGTAACAAATATAGTAGCTGCTTTGGATACAAGTTGCATTATGATTAATTAGTGATAAAATAACATGAGATCAGTATATAACTAAAACTTAGTTTGTCATCCATAAGTAATAGTATAATACTATAATATTTTGTGCCCCGTCAAATAAAGTGTTACGAACCATTTCTGTACTGCTAAGGCATTTTAAAGGGCTGACACACACAGCTGCATTTTAACTTATTTATACTCATTTATATTCATTTATAGTCATTCTATATTTAGGTTTTTTTCACCATAAACGATTTCAATGGATGGATGATCACATAATTTAGCTGAATGGGATTTGGTAAATGAAAATATAATTATTTGTGAGACTGCTTATTCAAGAGGAAAGTACGGTGGCCGAGAGAGCTCAACGCGCTGCAACTTCAAGAAAACACATGCAAACATAAAAAAACACAACAAATTAAGAAAACGTCTCCATCAGTTTGACAACACAGGCGCTGCAAATACGGAAACGCGCTGCAAACACACGAACGCGCAGCAAACACAAAAAACGCGCAGCAAACACAAAAAACGCGCTGCAAACACACGAACGCGCAGCAAACACAAAAAACGCGCAGCAAACACAAAAAACGTGGTGCAAATACAAAAAACGTGCTGCAAACACAAAAAACGGTGCAAATACAAAAAAGTGCTGCAAACACAAAAAACGGTGCAAATACAAAAAACGTGCTGCAAACACAAAAAAAGCGCTGCAAATAGTAGGGACCACAACGGAAATGTTTCAGGGGGACCTCAAAAAGTGACGAACCCATCTGGGAGCTGATTATTTGTTCATATTACCTCTGGGCACAGCCTGGCATGACACCTGGTCCTCACCTGCAGGTTTAGGGGCATTCTCCACGACAAAACTAACATTTCGCCCACATGAGCTACAAAATTTGTGTAAAGTTGGCCGCTGAAAGCCACAGAACGGACAATACATTTTGATCTGGAAAAAAAAAAAAAAAACAAAAAATAACAATGTTACCGATTTTAGC